CACAAACACACACATTAGCCTAGGCTTACTCAGGATCAGGATCAATATTGTCCTACTGGAAAGTCTTCAGGGGCAATAACAGGCATGGAACTGTCATCTTGTATGATAACAATGCCTTCTTCTGGATGCCTCCTGAAGGACCTGCATAAGGCTGTTTTACAGTTAACTTTTTTTTTTTTTTTACAACTAAAAGGAGTACACTCTAAAATGATAAAAAGTATAGTATAGCAAATACATAAACCAGTGACAGTCATTTCTTATCAAGTATCACGTACTATGTATAATCCTATGTGCTATCCTTTTATATGACTGGCAGCACAGTAGGTCTGTTTATACCAGCATCACTACAAACAAGTGAGTAATGTATTTCGCTATGATGTTACGACAGCTACCACATCACTAGGCAATTTTTCAGCTCCGTTATAATCTTATGGGACCACCATCACAATCGCAGTCCATCCTAGACAGGAACGATGTTACATGGTGTGTGACTGCACTTACTGAGTGCCTGCAATGTGCAAGGCACTGGACTAGCAGTGAACAGAACTGGCAAACACAATTCCTTCTTGTGGGGCTTAGAGTCTAGTAAGGGAGATACAGACAATGACCAAGAAGAATGTGTAAATTACATAGTGAGTCAGATGGTGATAAGTGCTGAGGAGAAAAGTAAACAAGGGGAGAGACAAATGGAGGAGTAGGTAGCAAATTCAGACAGTGGCAAAGGCAGGCCTTCCTGAGTGGGGTCACTTAACTATGAGAGAGCAAACCATACCTGAGGACAGAGTATTCCTGGCCGAGGGGACAGCAAGAGCCAAAACCTTGAGGAGGGAGGTGCCTGCCATGATGGAGGATCAGCACAGAAGGGCCTGTGGCTGGTGTAGAGTCAGGAAGGGGAAGGGCAGGAGGGGTCAAAACAGGGTGTCAAGAGCCTCGCAGGCCAGACTCTGGCTTCTCTAAATGATGGCGGAAGCCACTGGGGTTTGAGCAGAGGGGGACATAATCTGTCCCAATTTTAAGGGAATCAGTATGGCTAACCAGGTATTAGAACAAAATAGGTTGCAGTAAAGGTAGAAACAAGGAGACCTGCCGGGGGTAGTGTTTGTGGTGGTGGAGGAGTTGCGGAAATTGAGGGGCTTAAATTAAGGCAGTGCCATAGGAACGGAGAATTAGGGCGCTGAGAATGTTAAAGGTAGGACTGGCAACTCTGAAAGGGAAGCGTCAAAGATAATTCACAGTTTCTAGTTTGGGTGATTAAATGAGATTTTTAAGTATTGAATTTGACTTGCCTATAAGAAATAACTGCGACAGCGAGGCACAACGGCTCACACCGGTGTCCCAGCACTTTGGCAGGCTGAGGCAGGAGGATCACGTGAGCTGTGATCAGCCACTGAACTCCAGCCTGGGTGACAGAGCAAGACCTTGCCTCTAAAAAAAAAAGAAAGAAAGAAATACCTGTAAAAATGTCTCCTAGACTCTTGAATATATAAATTAAAGGCTAAGGAGAGATTTAGGCTCCTTGTAACAGTTTTGAAGGTAGTTAAACGTTGAAGGCAAACGTGAGCATCCCTAGGGCAGAGGTTCCTAACCTCTTTTGAGTCTTCTTGAGCTTATCAAAGTACACTATGCTCACAAAATGTTACATTCCATATCAGAGCTTTCTTGGGCTTCCGTAAGTATCCTCACAGTTCTCTCCCTCTTAGGGCGCCTGTGTAACCTCCTCTGGGAAAGTGTCTGGGTTTTGGTGACCTTCTGGGGACATCAGCTCAGTCAGTCCCGGGAGGGCAGTAAACAGTTTCCAACAAGCTGGCTTGTAATTAATGTTGAAATTCAGTCACTAAAGTTTTTTCAATCTGATTTGTTCTTGGTTAAAGTAAGTGAACTGAGGAACGATACTGCTAAACCAGGGTATAAACCCCGGGTGGCAACCCACCAGACCCAAACAAGCTTCCCTGTGTCCGCAGATCGGCACTAATTGAGGCTAGCAGCCCTAACAGACAGAT